CGCGTTAGAGACAGTTGGAATCCACTAATTTTCAAGTTTTGAACTTGTTTTTTCAATCAATTAACTATTTCAAATCAAATACTCCCTACAATACAAGTTGAACATAGAACACACCTTCACTAGTTGATTATGTCTTTTTCCTTATCCCTTATCTCTTAAAAGAGCACCTCGCTACTTCCAAAATTAGGGGGATGCATTCGATTAAATTTGAGAGGATTAAAATGAACTGAACTGATACATAATACGTTATTAATTTGCTCAAATATAGCCTAATTTGAGATGTATCGGGTTAAAACAGACTAAAATAAATAATGAATCCTAATTCAATACGCTTAATTTTTATTAAGATTTTTTAAAATTTATTCAAGTATATAATATATTTTGTCTCTCTTTATTATGATTATATATAGCATATTTATAAAAAATATATATTATAAAAAATATTTTAACAAGATCTAATGAGTAAGTCTAAGATACGTATCAATTCAAACTTTTGCGTGAGCTTAATTGATAAATCAAAATCAATTAAGTTAATAAAGAAGGGGTCATAAATTGGCCCAAACTTAAACGAGTAAGAAAAATCGTATTTGTATGGACTAATTTTGTTAACTCTTACTTTTGATCAAGTTAATATTCATTTGCTAGGCATGTATGAAATGTTTAACCGATGTTTGTGTAATTAACTCGTGTCAAATTTAACAGGTTAGGTGAGAATAGTTAAAGGGCAAAATCATAATTACTTGAATGCAAATTGACAATTAAAAAAAGTAAATCTTACATCACATGGTATGTAAGTTTGTTGTATTTCACCTACCAACCCAAGGCAAATCATACCGTCCATTGTATTTTCTCAAAAAAAAAAAAAACCTTATAATTTAATTATGAAAATTTTAAATTCATTTTTAGTTGTATTAGTTTATTTTTACATATAAAATTGTATTACATTCAAACATGAGCACTATTTCAACTCAATATTCTTTCACAAAAATATAATTACACACCACTTTATCTACAATCCTAGCTTCATAATTTTTCAAGAAATATCTCAAATCTATGGCCATACATCTACTAACAATATAAGGTTCAATAGTATGTGTACATAAATATTTTAGCATGTTTAAAAATACACACAAATTGATGAACGTAAAGAATTCCATTAAGGGATAAGATTCAACTCTTTTCTTTGGAACTATTTTTAAAGCGTATATCAGGTCTAAAATCTAATTTGACATGATATCAGAGTCCTATTTATCTGAGGTGGACCCCACCAAAACCGGTTGATGAATGGAAAGGATTTTGTATAGATAAGAGATGGGTTAGGCTTAAAATATAGTAATTTGAGATCATATTTAATATAATATAAATAAATTTTAGGGAAAAAATTCAAGTACCCCTCGACCTATGCCCGAAATCTCAGAGACACACTTATACTATACTAAGGTCTTATTACCCCTGAACTTATTTTATATGTGATTTTCTACCCTTTTTTAGCTTACGTTGGGCCCACAAAATTGTGCCACGTAAGCTAAAAAGGGATAAAAGATTATTAATAAAATAAGCTCAGAGGTAATAGGACCTTAGTATAGTATAAGTGTGTCTCTGAAATTTCGGGCATAGGTTGAGGGGTATTCGGACATTATCCTAAATTTTATATGTTTTAAGAATTAAGTAGGTACACTAGTTTGACAATTTAGCAATTGGAATCCATATCCTCCTACTCTGTAATTTCGTCTCTTTCTCCACTATAAATAATGGTCAGCCATCTCAATTTGTAACATCAAAACTTAAAACTCAAAAAAAAATTCAATCACCCACTATACTAATGGAAGGTTTAATCCCATTTCTCCTTCACGCTATGAAGAAACACAAGCCACATCAAAACACTTTTCGCTGTCTCTCCGACACCTCTAACCGGAGCTACCACATGCTCATTCGAGCTGAATCCATGGAAGGCTCGTCTCACCGGAGAACTCGATCGGAATTTCAGCCTCCGGTCACCACTGTTGATTTCCTGGATCTGCCTCAGAATAGAACCTTCAATAACAGAGCATCTTCTCTGTTTTCCAACCAGAATGATGCCGCTACTTTACAACGGACTACTAACGCTGTTGATAATCTCCGTCACAGGAAATGATGATTGCGTTGAAAAAAATGATGATATTATGTACTACGTGTGTTCAATTTTTAAAATTTTCAAGTGTAAATGTGCAATATTTGTTTGATTTTTTTTTTCCTTTCTATTCTCGTCTTGTTCAAACAATTGTGATATGGTTGTTATAAAATAAAGACTATATCAAGTTGATATATTATTATTATTATTCAACTTCCACTTAATATACAAATTATCTCATTTCGTGTTAAGTTCACTACTTGATGAGTTTACTTGCAAAATGTTTGCCAAATTGCAAATCTAAACAAGGTAAAACATGACTTTTTTAGCCATTAATATATTGTTTGCTTGATTTTAAGCTTATATAGAAATATTGTTGCTTTAAGGTTCAAGGATTGAACAAGTGCTTGGAGAAATTTAAAGTTACTGTGTTATACAATTTACAAATTTTAATTTTCAATTCTTAATGTGTTGATTAACTTTTTAGTCATTGCTTTAATTGATCTTTTTATACTATAACTCAATAATATAATATATGAAAATCAAAGAGAATTTTTAACTTTGCATTCTGACAATGACTAATATTAAATAGGAACATGTGAAACATTTTTTACTCTTTCACCGAATACAATGGATTATATCATGGTTTACCCCAATGTTTTTCGTCAAAAGGAAACAAAATATTGGACAATTTATAACATTCCACTAATTATTTCTCAACGTCAGACGTCTTTTCATGACAAAATCTTCAGCAAGTGACAAAAACTAATAATAATCATACAATGTCTATAAGCAGACAATTAGTTTAATTATTGCATTGGCGGATCATTTTGTCAACAAAATACAACCTAGCTAGTGGTCGCATATATGTATACATATTAATTATCCAAAAATATTGCACTTTTTTTCAACGTATGTACGAACATCAAGATAATGAATTATGCTAATAAATATTACTGTTAAAGAATGACAAAAGTCCACCTCGATGGTTGATGAGATGGGTGGACAAGGCGTGAGGTGGAGTGTTAAAGAATGACAAAAATCTCACATCGAGTGTTTCTTCATAGCGTGAGGTGGAGTGTTAAAGAATGACAAAAATCTCACATCTGCACACCTATCAAAACTTTTCACCATTTTCGCACGCCTAAACTTTTCTCCATTTTCGCACGACTAACTTTTCACCATTTTCATCTCTCTTAACAGTCTTCTTCAAGATTTCTCAAATAGTTGCATTCAAATCTTCATTTTTAGCACTCAAATCTTCAAATCTTGCAATAAACAAACCGCACAATGTCTAAAAGAGGCAACGAAACCCCGAGAAAAAGTAGAAGAGTGAATGAAGAAGCAAGTTCAGACGATTTCCATGCTCCATCTTTCAAAATTTTATCACAAACACAATCTCAACCTTCATCTGTTAAAGTTAAATCATCAACAACAGGAAAAAAAA